AAGACTGCAGTGATATTGTCCTTTCTCCAGTCCTCAGGCACCTCTTCTGTTCTCCATGATGGAGAGTGGCTCAGCAATAACATCTACCAGCTCTCTCAGCACTCGTGGGTGCATGCCATTAGGGCCCATGGACTTATGGATGTCCAGTTTGGCCAAGTGGTCTCTAACCCAGTCCTCCTCTACTGAGGGAAAGTCTTCCTCTCTCCAGACATTTCCCCTTGCCTCCAGACTCTGGGATTCATGAGGGACAGCTTTAGCAGTGAAGACTGAAGCAAAGAAGGCATTCAGTAACTCTTCCTTCTCTGTGTCTTCCACCACTAGGACACCCACCTCATTCATCAGTGGGCCTACTTTTTCCCTAGTCTTCCTTTTTCTATTGATATACTGAAAAAACCTTTTCTTGTTGTCTTTAACCGCATTGGCCAAGTTGAGTTCTGCTTGAGCTTTGGCCCTTCTAATTTTCCCCATGCATAGCTTCACTACATCTTGGTATTCCTCATAGGATGCCAACCCCTTTTTTCCAAAGGCTGTAAACTTTCCTTTTGTTCCTGAGGTCCAGCCAAAGCTCTCTATTTAGCCAGGCTGGTCTTCCCCGTCGGCTCATCTTTCAGGACCTGGGCTGGCCTTCTCCTGTGCCTTTAAGAGTTCCTCCTTGAAGTATGACCAGCCTTCTTGGGTTCCTTTGCCCTTCAGGACTGTTTCCCAAAGGACACTCAACCATGCTCTGAAAAAGGCAAAAGTCTGCCCTCTGGAAGTCCAAGGTGGCAGTTCTGCTGGGTCCCCCCTTGCTTCTCCAAGAATTGAGAACTCTATCATTTCATGATCACTCTGCCCAAGACAACCTCCAACCTTTACATCCCCCACAAGACCTTCTTGTTAACAAGCAGCAGGTACAGCTGGGCACTTTCCCTAGTTGGCTCCCTCACCAGCTGTGTCAGGAAGTTGTCTTCCACACACTCCAGGAATCCCCAGGACTTTTCTCTTTCTGCTGTATTGTATTTCCAGCAGATATCTGGGAAGTTGAAGTCCCCCACGAGAACAAGGGCTAGCGATTGTGAGACCTCTGCCAGTTGCCTATAGAATATTTCATCATCCTCTACATCCTGGTTGGGAGGTCTCTCCCACCATTATGTCTGCCTTATTGGCCTTCCCCTTGATGCTTACCCATAAACACTCAACACTGCCATTCACAACGTTATGTTCTAGGCATTCAAATCTATCCCTAACTTAGAGGGCCGCCCCGCCACCTCTCCTTCCTTGCCTATCCCTTCTGCAAATTTGGTAGCCATCAATCATAGCACTCCAGTTGTGTGACTCTTCCCACCATGTTTCTGTGATGGCAACTATATCATAGTTTTCTTGCTGTACAATGGCCTCCAGCTCCTCCTGTTTGTTGCCTATGCTGCGTGCATTGGTGTAGATGCACTTCAGCTGGGCTAATTGTCCTGCCACTTTTTTGGGGGAACAAGCCCTGATTCCCACCTGACCACACTCAGACACTTCCCTAGTTACCAACCTATCATTAATCCTCATGTCTTCACTACCACATGCATTACCATCCCCTACCTCCATTGAAACAACAGACTGCAAGACCTTGCTAGCACTTTTACCCACAAGCACTGGCATGCTGCTCCCAGCCTCCTCTCTAGTAAGCCTGTTTTCATCCCCTTCCCCCTTCAAACCTAGTTTAAAGCTCTTTCAATGAGCCCTGCTAACTCTTGTCCCAGGATCCTTCTTCCCCTTTGGGTTAGGCTTTCCTCACGTTGCCAGCATGCCTGGTATTCCGTAGATCAACCCATGACCAAAGAAACCAAAGTCCTGCTGGTTACCACCAGTCTCGGAGCCAGGAGTTAATCTGCTGGCTCTTCCTGTTTGTCTCCTCATCAATCCCTGCTACTGGTGGGATAGAGGAGAACACCGCCTGTGCTCCTGATCCTTCAACCAGCCATCCCAGGGCCCTGAAGTCTCTCTTCATTGCCCTTGGACTTCTAGTAGCTACCTCATCACTGTCTACCTGAAATATTAGTAATGGGTAGTAATCAGAGGGCTGAACTAGGGTAGGGAAGTTTCTTTGTATATCCTTAATCCTGGCCCCAGGGAGGCAGCTGACTTTCCTAACAATTGGGTCTGGCCTGCATATAGGGCCTTCCACTTTAGAAGCAAGTCACCTATAACAAGGACCTGTCTTTTTTTAACCGAGGTTGTTTTGATGCGAGGTGTGGTCTGACTTTGCCTCAGTGACACCTCCAAGTTTAGTGAACCATCACCCTCATCACTATTTGGTTCCCTTTGCAGTGCATCATATCTGTTTTGCAAGGTCACCTGGGGAGGTGCAAACAGTTACTCTAGAGACACATCTACCACACACTTGTGCCATGCAGGAACTTGTTGCCATTGCTCCCTATCCTGTAGGCCATCACACTCAGCCAGGCAGAGAGAGGACAGGGAGTGGTCTGTATCATGAGACCCACCTGACTGTTGGGCTTGATTCAGGGAGGCTAAGTCATGACACCAACAGTCTATCTCACTCTCACACTCCCTGATAACTCCTTAGCCTCCCCATCTCCTCCTTCAGCTATGTAACTATGCTGAGTAGATATTTTTTCTGGTCACACCTCACACAACTAGTCTCTCTGCTGTCCTCTGGTATGAACAACAGGCTTAGGCACTCCCTGAGGCTGGAGACCTGGATAGCTGTATGTCTGTGTGGGACCTCTGTCTGGGTCACCACATTCCTCCTGGTGCAATGGCTTTTGCCCAAGTAAAAACCATAGTTAACACTGTTCTGGGAGAGCAATGACCACTAGTCAAGTTGTCTCTGAAGCCAAGGGACGGACTGTGCACTCATAGAATCATAGAACCATTCAGGTTGGAAAAGACCCTTGGGATCACCAAGTCCAACCATCATCCCTACTGTACAAAGTTCTTCCCTAAACCATATCTACTAACACCATATCCAAATGACTCTTAAACACATCCAGGGATGGTGTCTCAACCACCTCCCTGGGCAGCCTATTCCAGTGTCTGATCACTCTTTCTGTGAAAAAAAATTTCCTAATGTCCAGTCTAAACCTGCCCTGTTGCAGCTTGAAGCCCTTCCCTCCCTGCCCTTCGCGCCCTGCTCTCGTGAACTGCTGTGCGAACTGCTGCGCCACACCCTTTTGATGTGCCACACCGTGTTTGCCCATCCTGTTCACTGCACTCCCGGGTCACTCGTGCTCCCTAAGCGCTGTACTTGTATGTGACAGGGGTTAGGCCGCCTTCACCCTGTTCTCTGCCCACGCTGAGGCAGAGCCGTCCCCTATTGGTCAGGAGCTGTCACTTCCCGCTTGGGGCAAGGAGGCAGTCTCACTGTCTCTGCGCTTGTTGGCGTTGCCGTTGCCGCGGTTTCGCAGCCTCGGCAAAGAGTCCCACGACGCAATCAGACGTGATCCCTCCACCTCGGTGGCTGCGTTGAAATGGCATTCATAGAGAGGTCTCACCATCCGGCTGTACCTGGGAATGTGGATTCTCCAAAAACCCACAATGCCTAAGAATGCTTGTTTCTCTTTCTTATTAGTGGGTGGAGACATAGTATTTTGTTAACCATATCCATAAGGACATGTAGGCACCCATCTTGCCACTTAATTCCCAGGAACTGGATTTCCTGGGCAGGTCACTTGACCTTGCTTCTCTTTATGGCAAAACAGGCTTCCAGCAGAATGTGGTTTTCCTTCCTACCATTCTCAAAGATTTCTTCTGCTCCATTACCCTATACAATGATATCATCAATGTACTGAAGATGCTATGGAGCTCTACCCTTCGCCAGTGCAGCCTTGATCGGTCCACAGCAGATAGTTGGGCTGTGCTTCCCTGGGGCAGTCAATTCCAGGTGTACTGGATGCCTTTCCAGGTGAAAGCAAACTGGGGCCTGCACTCTGCTGCTATGGGAATAGAGAAAAAGGCATTAGCATTGTAAATAGTTGCATAACATTTAGCTGCCTTGGACTTCAGTTTGTATTGAAGTTCCAGCCAAGTGGCAGGTCTGGCAGCCATAGCTTCATTGTCCTCATTTCCCGCCTTTCCTGTATGTATACCCAGAAACATCGAAGAAAATGGTTGCACTTCTCAAACACAACATTGTGTCATGGTTTAAGACTGGGCGGGCAATTAAATGACTGACAGATGTTCTCTATTAACCCCTCTCCCTTCCCCTATAGGGAAAGGAGAGAGAATAAGGGAGAGAGACTTGTGGGTTGGAAACTAAACTACACAGCTTTAATGAAACAATAATGATTAAAAAGAAAGTAATGAAATATATACAAATATATGCAAAACCACTATAATGCTCCCCCCCAGTAATACATCATCACTGAGGCTGCAGAGCAGGCCCTGGGAAAATTCTGGATTTGACTCCTGGACTCAGCAGCAGATGGGAGCTGAATCTAGGAACACAGGGATTGGGATCAAAAGAAGACTGTGGATGAAGAAGAGCTTAACCCTTGTGATCTCTCAGATTTATACTGAGTATGACATGTATTGGATGGAATACTTTGTTTGGTCAATTTGGGTCACCTGTCCAGCCCACTCCTCCCTTTTCTTTCTGGCACATAAGAAGTTTAGTAGAACCAAGCAGTGAACTTGGTTTTGCATACCATTCTCCAGTGAGAACTATAAACATTGACCCTTATCAGTCCAAGAAGCAGACACTGACTGAAGAACACGCCATTAATTTCAGTCTCTTAGAAGAGACTGTTGTTCTGTCTTGGCTCAGACCAGGACATTGGGCAATGAGGAAGGGACCTTCTCTCATAAAACGCTCCTTTGTATTTAAAAAAAATACAGTAGTAAACTAATTGTGCTAACAGGTTCCTTTAGCTTATAGGATGGGTACTCAACAGTGCAGAAGTGAATGAAAAAGGTATAAACTATATGATCATGAAATATTATGTTCTGACATTAACAGTCATTAAAAAATTAATTTACATGCATCTTATTGGTTTTTTGTTTTACAACTCTAGATTGGCGAATTGTTGAGCACCACACACCCTGCCAACAAAGCTAGCTTAACTCTTTTCTGCCCTGAGGAAGGGGATTGGAAAGATTCCAACCTTGACAGACACAACCTTCAAGACTTTATTAACATTAAACTCAACTCAGCTTCCATATTGCCCGAAATGGAAGGACTCTCTGAATTCACAGAATATCTTTCAGAATCAGTAGAAGTGCCATCACCCTTTGACATTTTGGAACCTCCAACTTCAGGAGGCTTCTTAAAAGTCTCCAAACCCTGCTGTTATATTTTCCCAGGTGGAAGAGGGGACTCTGCATTGTTTGCAGTGAATGGATTCAACATGCTTATCAATGGAGGATCCGAAAGAAAATCTTGCTTTTGGAAACTTATCCGGCACTTGGACAGGGTAGATTCCATTCTACTCACTCACATTGGAGATGATAACCTTCCAGGAATCAATAGCATGCTTCAGCGAAAGATAGCTGAATTAGAAGAGGAACAGTCCCAGGGATCTACTTCCAACAGTGACTGGATGAAAAATCTAATCTCACCTGATTTAGGATTTATATTCCTTAATGTACCTGAGAACCTGAAGAACCTGGATCCTAACTTTAGAGTAAAAAGGAGTGTAGAAGAAGCTTGTTTTACTCTCCAGTATTTAAATAAATTGTCTATGAAACCAGAACCTCTTTTCAGAAATGTAGAAAATATCATTGACCCCATCATTTTGTTTCAGAAAATGGGAGTTGGCAAACTTGAGATGTATGTGCTTAATCCTGTAAAAAATAGCAAAGAGATGCAATATTTTATGCAACAGTGGAGTGGTACTAGCAAAGATAAAGCTGAATTCCTGCTATCAAATGGCCAAGAACTAGACATTCCATTATCCTATTTCAACTCTGTCTCATCCCTGATTGTGTGGCATCCAGCTAATCCTGCAGAAAAAATAATCCGAGTTCTGTTTCCTGGAAACAGTACCCAATATAATATTCTAGAAGGACTAGAAAAACTTAAACACTTAGACTTTCTTAAACAACCAGTGGTTACACAAAAAGACCTAACTGGGAACATTGCTAGTCCAGCTGTGAAACTAGCAAAGTTGAAAAAACGAACAGACAGCAAGGAGAGTCTGAAGCCTGTTTCAAAGACACCACCAAGCAAGCCTGTCAGAAAGGAATCTAAAGAAGAAACACCAGAGCCTGCAAAGCCTAGTCCAGCACTGGAAAAGGTTCAGAAACTGGAAAGCAAAGAAAAAGTTCCAGCTAAAAAAGATAAACCATCAAAAGTGGAGAACAAACCTGTAGTGACAGAAAAAGATGTAACAAGTAAAGAAGAGCAATTAGTAAAATCTGAAACTCTTGAAAAACAAGCTATAGATGTAAAACCAAAAGTGGCAAAGGAGAAGCCAGTGAAAAAGGAAGTCAAAGCAAAACTTGAAGAAAAGAAAGAGGAAAAAGAAAAAACAAAGAAAGAGGTTTCTAAAAAAGAGGAGAAAACACCCATCAAAAAAGAGGAAAAAACAAAAAAAGAAGAGATCAAGCAAGAAGTTAAAAAAGAGGTGAAAAAGGAAGAGAAGAAGGAAACTAAGAAGGAAGTAAAGAAAGAAGCTCCACCCAAGGAAGCAATAAAAGAAGGTAAAAAAGAAGAGAAGAAGGAAATTAAGAAGGAAGAAAAAGAAGCCAAAAAGGACATAAAAAAGATTCCTAAAGAAACAAAGAAGACAGCTTCTCCTTCGACTGAAGTAAAAAAAACAGCAACAAAGCCTAAGCCACAAAAGAAGGAGGAAGTTGCTAAAAAAAAAGCAGTACCTGCTGGAAAGCTAAAGGAAAAAGGAAAAATTAAGATTGTGAAGAATGAGATCAAAGTCAGTGGAGGACAAGTTGCCCTTGCAGCAGCTGAAGCCAGTGTCATAACTGTAGCAGCTGTAGAAATTACAGCTAGTGGAAAAGAACTTGAAGTGGAGAGATCCCTTATGTCTTCACCAGAGGATTTAACAAAGGATTTTGAGGAATTAAAAGCTGAAGAAGTTGAAACTATAAAAGAAACAAAACCTCAAGTTGCACTTATAGAGAATGAACTGAAACTCACTGGCACAGAACAAAAAGAGGCCTTTGAAGTCAAAAAAGAAAAATTAGGTAATGAAGAACCTGCCGAGTCCTCTGATGAAGGCATACCTACGACAGAGGCTGAGGGTGAGTGTGAACAAACACCTGAAGAATTGGAACCTGTGAAAAAGCACAATGAAAAGTTTGAAGATGAGGGAACTGGCTTGGAAGAATTATATGAAGAAGGAGATTATGAAGAAAAGGCAGAGACAGAAGAAGCTGAAGATGAGGAAGAAAAGACACCACTGAACACTGCAAAACCATATATGGAGGAAGCAAAAGAAATGGAAGAGAGTTCAGAAGAAATAATAGCTGAAGCAGATGCTAACATTAAAGCCAGGAAATCTATTGAAAAGGCAGATGATGAGGCAGCAGATGAACGGGCTGAGGAAGACAGGGAAGAAGCAGTAGAAAAGGCAGAAACTGAAGAGACTGAAGAAGAGGAGGAAGACAAAGCTGAAGACATCAGAGATGACGAGGAGACTGAAAAAATAGAAGCTGAAGAAGATTATGTGATGGCTGTGGTAGACAAAGCTGCAGAAGCTGGTGAAGTTGAAGATAAATATGGCCTACTCATAATTACACCAACAAAATGGTCAGAGCCTCAGCCTCCAGCAGTTGAACAGGCCTCTTCTATCCATGAAGAAACATTACCTGGTGGTTCAGAAAGTGAAGCCACTGCTTCTGATGAAGAAGACAGAGAATATCAACCTGAGGAATTCACTGCTGCTTCAGGTTATACACAGTCTACCATTGAAATATCCAGTGAACCAACTCCAATGGATGAAATGTCTACACCCCGGGATGTCATGAGTGATGAAACTAACAATGAGGAAAGCGTGTCACCTTCGCAGGAGTATATGAACATTACCAAGTATGAGACATCAGTATACTCTCAAGAGTTTGCTAGACCTAATCTTTCTTCACTTTTGTATGCTTTTAATAATTTATCAGAGGCCACAGAATGTAAAGACTATAATGCCTCAGCTTCTACCATCTCACCACCTTCTTCATTAGAGGAAGACAAATTCTGCAAATCTGCATTCCAAGATGTATATTGGCAAAAAGGAAGTGAAATACAAGGCACTGTCAAATTCGAAATCAAAGAACCCTATCCAGAAGATGATGGAAAATGTAGTCCAGCCAAGAGTCTAGGTGAGAATTTGTCCCCTCCATCACCCATTGCCAAAACACCACTGAGTGAACGTAGTGTGAACTTTTCATTCACTCCCAATGAGATCAAGGTCTCAGCTGAGCCTGTCCCTGTCAATGTACATCAAGAAGTTGCTGAAGAACACTGTGCAAGCCCTGAATATAAAATATTAGAAGTAGCATCTCCCTCACAGTCTGCTGCTGGTAGTGCTGGCCACACACCTTATTATCAGTCTCCCAGTGATGAAAAATCAAGTCAGCTTTCCTCTGAAACCAATGAAAAGTCAACAGAAGCTCCTGTTAGCTTTGAACTCAGTGAAGTCAAAGATGAGTCTGAAAAACCCACAATAAGCCCTCTGGATGAGCCTGTTCCAGATTCAGAATCTCCTATTGAAAGTGTTCTCTCACCTCTACGGAGTCCATCACTGATATGTTCAGAGACCACTTATGATACATTTTTGAGTGCTGATGTAAAATCTCCCACCAGAGATTATGGAAGTCCTTCTGAGAGGAAACCTGAAAAAGAAAAATCACTTGTTCAGATGAGCCCAGCTTCTGAGGCCAGCTCTGTGAGCCTTTTTCAAGAAAAACAAGATGAAAAAACCATGGATTTTATGGTAATTAAGGAAGGCTTCAGTCTACAAAGGAAAACAGAACATACAGAACCCAGCAGCTCCCAGTCTTCACTGGTCTTGGATGAGCAGAAATTAGCAGGTGATCTCTCACCTACTCAAATAGATATCAGTCAATTCGGTTCCTTAAAAGAAGACAACAAAATGTCTATTTCTGAAGGAACTGTTTCTGACAAGTCTGCAACACCAGTTGATGAGGTTGTAGCAGAAGACATCTATTCCCATATAGAAGGAGTAGCTTCTGTCTCTACAGCATCTGTTGCTACTAGTTCATTTCCAGAACCAAATACTGATGATGCATCTCCTTTGCATGCTGAGGTTGGATCCCCTCACTCTACTGAGGTTGATGATTCTCTGTCAGTGTCAGTTGTACAAACACCAACAACATTTCAGGAAGCAGACATGTCTCCATCTAAGGAAGAGTGCCCAAGGCCCATGTCAATTTCTCCACCAGATTTCTCACCTAAAACCTCAAAATCAAGAACCCTGGTGCACGATCACAGAGTTCCTGAGCAGTCAACCATGTTATTTGAATTTGGTCAGGAGTCTCCTGAGCAGTCTTTAGCAATGGACTTTAGTAGGCAATCTCCAGCCTGTCCTACTGTAGACACGAGTATACACCATATATCTGAAAATGGACCAACAGAAGTAGATTATAGTCCTTCAGATATACAGGAGCCTACTTTTGCACAGAAGATTTCCCCTGTGGAGCAGTCATCTTACTCTCAGGAGAAGGATATTTCAGAAATTATTTCAATTTCTCAAATTGAAGCTTCATCCTCAGCTTCATCAGTTCATACACCTTCTCAGTTAACTTCACCACTGCCAGAAGAAACTTTTTCAGGTGCTGTTCCACTCAGAGATATGTCACTACATTCTCCTTTTACCTCTGAAACGGTACATAGCCTAGGAGAAAAGCTATCACCAAAGTCTGACCTATCTCCATTAACTCTAAGGGAATCTTCTCTGTACTCTCCTAGTTTTCCAGATTCACCTCCTGCAATCACAGAAGCAGTGTCAGCTAGTCACACATCTTTGTTGTTGCTGCAAGTGTCCTCTGTCAAAGCATTTGGTTACCAGGAACCCCTAATAAAGCACAGTCCAGAACCTTTAATCAGCCCAGAAAAGGAAGATTCAGAGAAAAGCAGCAGGTCACTAGAAGAACTTAGTTATTCTTACAAGGACACAGAGAAAACTACTAGGTCACCAAAGGGTATTAGCTACTCCTATGAGGCAGTTGAAAAAACTAGATCACCTCAGGCCATAGATTATTCCTATGAGATAACAGGGAAAGCTACTAGGTCACCTGAGGCCACAGATTATTCTTATGAGATGACAGGGAAAACCACGAGCTCACATCCTAAAACTGAACTTTCACCCTCATTTATCAACCCAAATCCCTTTGAGTGGTTTGCAAGTGAAGAACAGTCTCAAGAAAAGCCATTAGCTCAATCTGGGGGAGCCCAGCCACCTCCTGGGGGAAAGCAGCAAGGGCAGCAATGTGATGAAACCCCTCCCACATCTGTGAGTGAGTCTGCCCCATCTCAGACTGATTCAGATGTTCCCCCCGAGACTGAGGAATGTCCTTCCATCACTGCAGATGCTAACATTGATTCAGAAGATGAGTCAGAAACCATTCCGACAGACAAGATGATTATGTACAAAAAAACTGACCCGCCACCTGTCCCAATGCAGGATCATAGCCCTTCTCTGAGGCACCCTGATGTCTCCATGGTTGATCCAGAGACTTTGCCCATTGAACAGAATTTGGGTAAAACTTTGAAGAAGGAACTCAAAGAAAAGACAAAGACAAAAAAGCAGGGTACTAAGACCAAGTCATCTTCTCCTGTTAAAAAAAGTGATGGTAAATCAAAACAAGTGGCTTCACCAAAACCAGCTATAAAAGAATCTATAGACAAAAATTCCAAAATGGGTTCTCAAAAAAAGAAGCAGTTTGTGGAGAAGTCAAACAAAAATATCTCTATTCCAGAAGTAAAGTCTCGAGTGGAAGAGAAAGATAAGGACACCAAGAATACAGCAAATACAACATCCAAGTCAGCAAAGACTGCAACCACAGGTATCCCTAATGTTAATGTTTTCTTAGTTGTTGCAGTGAAGTTAGGTTGCCTTTGTATCAGCTGAGAATGAGGTTTGTAGCAAACCTCCAGAGAAAGTCTATGTTTTAAATATAAATCTGGCATATCAAAGCCACATTTAAATGAATGAAATTCACTGCATTAAGTTTTTCAGTCTGAGAAACTTGATGTGTCGGTTTGCTCAGATGTAAAGAATTAGAGTGCATCACATGTAAAGAACTTAATACTTGTTGTCTGACTTGTTAACAAACTAATAGATTTAAAAGTACTAGTTTTGTAGGGGAAGTGAAATCAGTAGTAAAGTGAACCACTTTATTCATTGTAACAATCATGCAGACACAATGCTCAATATAAAATAATGCAATTTAATATTGTGAGAGGCAAAGGTACTCTCAGACATTGGATGCTTTAGTTACTTTTCTGGATTATTTTTTTTAAAAACGATAACAGTAGTAAGAGCATTTTCAATGAGCTGAGTATGTATATCACATAATCCAGTTAAAGTCTTATGCCATCAGTGATGACCAAACATGCAGAAAATTAATGTAATTTTTAATTAATGTTGTGTATTCTAAGTAGTAATCAAATATTAATTAGATTACTGAAGGACGCATTGTGCTAATATGTTGTTTCTGGCAGATCTTGTTAGAGAGCGTTTTGTGGATAGTTTGATTTTGCTGTTGTCAGGACTGATGTTCTTGAAAGCTTTTTACAAGGAGCACGTCTAGGATTCAGTATAAGCAAACTATTAAATATTGGGTATGTTACAAAATCCTATAATATTTCATCATAAAAAAATCTGTGATACATCTTGGAGCATACTTCTCAGGTATATGCTAGAGCTGAAGACAAGGCTCTATTCGATAATGACATTTAAGTGCAAAATGTAACATCTAATATTTTATCCAGTGTTGGTATCCACAATTCAGAAAGATGTATCACAGATGTTTTATGATGAAAAATTATAACAGATTTTGTAACATACCCAATATTTTAAAACTCTGTAATTCAGGAAATCTTATAATATTATAATGCTTATTTGGCACATTGCCCTATGATGAATGGCAGTTCACACTAGACAATTATATTGGACTTTCCTGGCTTTACAATATGTGATCCTAAATAGATTGTATTGCTAAGAGAATTTAGTTTACCAAATTTCATCCTCTGTAACATCATGAGAAAGCAAATAAAACATAAATTATGATCATCTGGATACAAATACTGGTTAAATCCTGATTGTCAGTTCACATAATGATCCAGGGTGTAGCAAAAGCAGCTTTTTTGGTAGCATTTTTAATGCAAGTGTTTGAACTTCCTTTTGACTGAACCTCTTCTTAAAACAGATACTGCACTATGTATAACAGCAAAAACATGCTTCCCTCTACTTTTTGTAATAAGTGGCTAGTTTATGTATGCAAATAGGGATCTAACAGACAGACAAACACTTCTTCTCAGTTTCCTGAAGTAATTGTGTTAGGAAACTTCTCTGTTCTCCCAAGATCCTCTTTGCCCCTCTTTCTGCTCACATGTAGCAGCTTCCTGATGCACCTGTAAGACATTCTGAGCATATCAACAACTACTATGTCTTGGTATGTGCTCATACCCCAAATCTCAAGGCCGCTTCTGCATGATTCCCTGTGTAACCCTTGCTTTTATAATAACGCATACCAGAGACTTTTGAAAAACTACTTCTTGGAAAACAATACTGCCATTTATTGAATGGTAATTCAGTAATCACAGCCCTGTGTAGTAATTGTTGGATAATAACAGTATATTACTGGGAAAAGTTCAGTCAAATGTTGGTTATGTAGTAATGAGTTTTTATTGTATCATATAGCTAGTTACTTTTATTCCATTTTTTTCCTCCTAGTATAATTGTAATTGGCATACAACAAAGCTGGAACGTGTCATTAGATGTAGGAGCGTAATGCCAGGGGACACAGAAGTACAATTGTAGCTATGTAATGCTTAACCAACAATAGCATTTTTAAGAATATCATCACAGTGGTTGTAATGGTATTTAACAAATGCATGTTTTAACCAGTCTATGATATACTCTTTTGTTGCTTGATTTCCAAAGGACTTGGGAATAGTAAGTCAGCAAAATATACAGCGGTTCCTCCAGGACCTCCAGTGTATTTGGATCTGGTGTACATTCCTAACCACAGCAATAGCAAGAATGTCAACACTGAGTTTTTCAAGAGGGTGCGGTCATCCTACTACGTGGTGAGCGGGAATGATTCTGCAGCTGAGGAGCCAAGCAGGGCTGTTCTGGACTCCCTGCTGGAGGGCAAGGCCCAGTGGGAGAGTAGCATGCAGGTATGCTGTTCACTAGTATTTCTGCCTGGAAATTTAATCTTCTCTGGGAAGCAACTACAGGAAACCAGAGCACTTTTGGAGTGGGCAGCGGCTACTGGGAACAGGAGTTCCCAGGCTGGGCACCTTGTTTCACCAGTGATGTGAGAGGACACACAAGTGAAGCACAGAGCTGCACTATAATCAGCTGCTCCCCCATTTCTGGCCCTTCTGACCTATCTCTGCAGAATAAACCAATTGGAACTGGTTTACAGGATCATTTGGCTATTTTATCTTGTTGCTATACCATATATGATCCAAGTTTGGAAATCTTGCAGTTTGTAAGCAGGAAAGAAAAGTGAATGTTTCATGATCTATATGGTAATAATGTACACTTGTGTCACCGTTTGACTTAGGTTTGACAACAATGCCCTCGATCCCCTCCTCCTCCCACCCAGGAAAGGAAGGAGAGAGAGAATTAGGAGAGAGACACTGGATTGAAAACTAAACTACACAGCTTTAATTAAACACCAATGATCAAAGAAAATATATAGAAATATATACAAATGTGCTTAGGAAATGTACAAAACCCCTGTTGCCTCCCCCCACCCCCAGCAACTCCCACAGCACTCTCTTTAGCTGCGAACAGTCCCGAAAATTCCTGGATCGCTGCTGGAGAAAGCAGAGAGTGATGAGGGTCAGGAGAGCTTGAGCCTAGGGGTTGATGGTGATGGATGGAGTTCTCCCCAGATGCTGGTCATGGACAGAAGAGAAGGGAAGAAGAAGCAGGAAGGAAGTTGTCTTCTGTGATCTCTGACCTTCCTCTGAGCTTACGTAGATATATGGAATGGAATATCTCTGGCCAATTTTGCTGTCTGTCTATTATCAGTCATTCTAGTTGGAACACTCTGCTACTAGTTAAAAGAGAGCTCACTGAAGGAAAAAAAAATCAGTAAAAGAAAAACTGGCTTCATCCTGGCTCAAACCAGGACAATGTGGTTTCTGTGACTATTGAAGTAAAACACAATCACCCCCCCCCATATGATTCCTACAAGAACAGAACAGTTTCTTCTAAGGCCTTATCTTGATCAAGCCTGACTAGGCCCCAACACCCCCCCAAATAATCAAAATCTACTCAAATCAGTAACATTTCCCCCCTTTGAAAGTTTTTTAAATTATTTCAATACTTTAACACTGAAGAAAATTACTTGTTTTGCTTTACTATATGCTGGTGGGAGCCTTGTTATCATTTCTCTTTCATCTTGTTTCTCAATACTGCACTTATAATCATGTGATTAAACACAGTTTTGCTGTCAATTTGCCTTTTCAAACAAGAGTAGATCAACATTATCATTAGGAAAAATAGTAATAAAACAAATAATGTGCCAATTATTTTATCCATTAACTCAGATTCCAGCCTGATCCACTAAAAATCTTATCTATCCAGTCCTCTGACATAGATTGTCTATCTTCTCTGATCTTCCCTGATAATTCTAAATCATGTTCTACATCCTGAGTTACATTTGGAATGTGTATGCAACAATGGTCCACGCTGCCTCTTAGGTATCCACAAACTCCATGCTCTTTCAGTAAATCTAATGCCATTCTATTCTGTAAAGTTATTCTTGAGGTTGCCTGTAACTGCAAATTTAATTCTCTAAATCCCTTCTTTGTGATGTTCACCAGCTTTTCCACCTGTCCAGTCAGTTGATAGATCCATTCCCTGTTTCTATAAGATGTTATGGGATTTAAGAGGGATTCTAGAACCCAGCCAATTTTTACTCCTGTCAGTGGTTCATTCCATATTTCATCTGTCTCTGATCTCTTTACTTGCTTTATTTCCAAATTTTCTAGGGATCCCTTAAAGGGTGATTTTTTCTAAATTTGTCACAAAGTTGGCATACCTAAGATGATCTCTTTTACTTTTCCATCCAAAGGCAGATGTATTGTCCAGGTTCCATCACTCATTGCCCAAACTAAATGTCCTGGGCTCTGAATTGTTCCTCCTTTGGGTATATAGGTTTTAGTTAAAATAAGACTATTCTTAAGTCCTTGACATAGACACCCATATTTTAAGGCCACAACCAAAGAGGGAATTTTCTGAATTACTAGGTCCACAGTACTGCAATTGTATACTTTTTCACATTTCCACCGAGACACTAACTTTTCCTTTTCTCACAGTGTACTTCCTCTATCATTTATTGATGGAAACAACATATACAACATATATAGACATATACTGAAATTGAGACAATATAGGCATGGACCATATAGAATCCCACTGCATCTCTGTTTCTTGTATATTCTGATTTGTTTCTTGACATCTATATTCCATAATTATTTGGCTAACATTTCTCTTAATTGGTTCAGTGTAAGAACAATATCCTCTATTTCTTTCATCACAAGTTGGTCCACTACAAAAAAAACACATATGAGTTGATAGATCTCTTATTGATTCAAAACAAAAATTTGGTAACTTTTGACAATCAGCTCTGTTCCCCGGATATTTCCATTTCTTCCAAATGTTTTCTACTTGTTCTTGCCATTCAACAATGGGGACCTGCTTACAATGGGTATTCTCATTTTTGTGCTCTATATTGGTTAAATTCATTGTTAAAATTCCCCATGAAACAGATTCACCTACTGCTCTTGGCACTGGTAAACAAGCAGTAATCTATGTTACATTCTGCAAGTTGGCAAATTCTTTAATTAAGCCAACCATTAAATTTTCTTCTGGTGCTTTCCTTGGGAGTTACATCAGCTGATCCGTTTCTACCTATTTTATTTCTCACCTTCAAATCTAAATTTTCTCTCTTAATTTTGATCTCAAACCAGGCTCCCACTAGCATTAGTCTCCAAATCAAAATGAGACCTATAACAACAATCCCAAACTGGTATGTAAAATTAGACATGTTTTAGAGTTGATTTTAAAGTCTCTGGATCTCTATTGATGATCTTCCATGAAGAGGATGCCTTCTTCACTCTGGTGTAGTGGAGCCACGCCTCTGATTCTGCGATCTTGATGGCTGTAAAAGTAGTTAGCAGCATCTGAAAGGGTCCTTTACAGTGTTCCTGCAAGGGTTCAGAGGTCCATGTATTTACGTAGATGTAGTCTCCAGGTTGAAAATCATGCATGGGATTTTCTAAAGAGAGAGGTCTGTTCCACACCACTGCATCCCAGATTGCAGTTAAGGTTTTTCCTAGAGAAAGCAGATTGTTATACACATCTTGTTTTCCTTTTACATGCATGTTTGGATTTGGTTCTGGGATTCATATGGCTTCCCATATAGTAATTTGTAAGGACTGACTGAGGTGCCACTTTTTGGCTATACCCTGATCTGCAACAATGCCAATGGGAGTGCCTGGGGCCACTTCAAATTAGTTTCTTGGCATATTTTGCTAATTTGCCTTTTTAGTGTCTGATTCATCCTTTCTACTTTTCCACTAAATCGTGGCCTCCATGGTGCATGTAAATCCCAAGTAATTTCCAGGGCTTTGCATACACTTTGCATAACTTCAGCAACAAAATGTGGACCTCTGTCTGAAGAGATCCCAATAGGTACTCCAAACCTCTGAATTATTTCCTGTAATAGCCATTTTACAACCTCTTTTGCCTGTGTAGTGCGACAAGGAAGGGCTTCTGGCCATCCTGTAAAAGTGTCAACCCCCACCAGAATGTACTGATACCTATTTTGTCTGGGTAGCTCTGAAAAGTCTATTTGCCATTAATCACCTGGTTCTCTGCCAGATTTGAGCTTACCCATTTGAACGCTTTTTTTCATCATTAGATCATTCTTTAAACACACATCACATTTTGCAGTTATCATTTTGGCTATTCCTAGCATTTTGACTGATACCACTTGCCTTTTTAAAAAGATTAATAAGGCTTCCACACCCCAATGATATTCTTGGTGTTTTGTCTGAATTACTTCTCTCATTAGGAGGGGTGGTACTACTACCTGTCCATTAGGTGTGACCCACCATCCAGACAGATTTTTCTTTGCAACCAATAATTTTCCTAATTTTTCATCCTCTTCTGAATGTTTAGGCCTCTCCTTTGGGAGAGTTATCATTTTGGTTGGAATTAAAAGCATTTGTAAAGATTTTTTTCTCACTGCCTTTCTGGCAGCCCTATCTGATAAGTTATTCCCTCCGATCTCTTGTATTTCCCACCTGATATGCTTTACAGTGCATGCTTGCCACTGCTTGCAATAGTTGCAAAATGTAATTTTGATGTTTAATATTTGATCCTCGGGATAATAAACCTCATTCTTTCCACAGGATCCCATGGACATGTACTATCCCAAGGGCATATTTTGAATCAGTCCAAATGTTTACCTTCTTTCCTCCACTTAATTCAAGGGCCCTGGTTAAAGCAATAAGCTCTGCTTTTTGGGCTGAAGTGGTGCCAGACAATGCTTTTGCCTCTATGATCGATTTTTCAGTTGTTAGCGCATATCCGGTGTATTGAACTACGTTTCACAAAACTGCTGCCATCTGTGTACAACTCCCAGTCAGGATCTTCCAACAATGTGTCTTTCAAGTCCTCTCGACTGGAATACACGTTTGATGGTAGCGAGGCAGTCATGTTCCAGCTGTCCTTCTTCCTGTGTAGAACTTAAAAAGACTGCAGGATTTACCAGGTTGTACAGTCAACACCACCTGGTATTTCATCATTCTGCTAGGGTACAACCAATGTCCCCCCTTTTGTTCTAAAACAGTTATGACCATATGTGGGACATACACTGTTATTGTTCTTCCCAAAGTCAGTTTTTGGGCTTCTTGGATAAGCATCACTGTAGCAGCAACTACTCAGAGACAAGTAGGCCATCCCTTACAGTATCCAGTTGTATGGAGAAATATCCAACTAGTCTCTTCCAGCTTCTGGGTCAATACTCCTAACGCTAGATGCTGTCTTTCATGAACAAACAACTGGAAATCTTTGGTTAAATCTGGAAGTCCCAGGGCAGGTGCAGACATTAATGCTTGTTTCAGGTCTCTAAAGGCCTGTTGCTGATGTGGACCCCATACAAAGGGAGAGTTCTTTTGAGCTTCATACAACGGCTTGGCTATTAGACCGTAAGTCATTATCCAGAGGCAACACCACCCGGCCATTCCCAAGAAGTCAGTTCATGAACATTTTTGGGCTTCAGGATGTCACAAATGGCTTCCTTATGGTCTGTTCCCAATTGCCGTTGTCCTTTTGAAATCTCAAAGCCCAGATATATTACAGTCTGTCTTGTTATTTGGGCTTTGTTTCTGAATACCTTGTACCCGTTTAGTCCAAGAAAATTTAGAAGTTCTATTGTCACCTTTATGTAGGTGGATCTCTCTTCTGTAGCAATAAGTATGTCATCCACATATTGTAGAAGCAAATGTTCCAGATTCATTCTTGAATCATCTTGTTTCCATATCTCAAGTTCTTTTGCCAGTTGCTTTCCAAAAATTGTCGGGCTGTTCTTAAATCTTTGTGGTAGTCTTGTCCATGTTAGCTGCATCTTTGTGGATTCTCCCATTCAAAAGCAAACAGTTTCCTGCTTTCCTCGTCCAGGGGTATGCAAAAGAAAGCATCTTTTAAATCAAGCACTGTAAACCACTGATGTTCCTCCCTTAAAGTTGTTAACAGAGTGTATGGATTTGCCACTACAGGGCGTATGTCCTTAACTATATGATTTATAGCACTCAGATTCTGTACCAACCTATACTCACCTGAAGGTTTTCTCACTGGTAAGATTGGGATATTGTATCTGGGTTCACATTCTTTGAGAATTTTATATTCTACAAACTTATCAATCAACTTCTTAATCCCTTTCCTGGCTTCTGGTTTGATTGGATGTTGTTTAATCCTCACTGGCTTTGCACTCTCTTTCAATTCTATTTTCACAGGCTGTGCTAATTTTGATTTGCCAGGCTTATCTGTGTCACATACTGTAGGGATTACTGTCAAATCCATTTGTGGAATTTCTCGTTCTTTTCTTTTTTCGTGTATCATCAAGATTTCTTCTGTCTTTGACTCAGGTATCTTTAGAAGGAGCTCTCCATTTTCAAAAACAATTTGTGCATTTAATTTAGATAGCAAATCTCTCCCTAATAAGGGTATCGGGCATTCTGGTACATACAAGAATTCATGTGTGATTATTTTATTTTCAAATTTCAAATCCAGGGGTTGAAGGAATGGCCTATTTTCCTCCTTCCCTGTGGCCCCAATTATATTTGCTGTTTTGGTGCCCAATTTCCCTTTACAGGTATTCGAAACTGAGAATGTTGCTCCGGTATCCACTAAAATCCTCCTTTTCTCCCAGCTTGATTACAACCAGACATTCAGCTGGGTTCCCCTCAGGTCCCCTTCATTCCTCTATAATCATCAATTTTGCTGCCTCCTGCTGATCTCTTAACTTTGGACACTCTTACCTCCAATGCCCTTCACCTCTACAGTAAGCATGTTGATTTATTCCCAAAGGAGCATTAAAGTTCTGGTTTCCAAGGTTTACAAGTCCACCTCTCCCTACAGCCCCCCTTCTTCCCCCGTGTCCTCAGCCTCTCACTGGTGCTCCTGTTACCACTGCCAACAGCCTGTTCTCCCTTGTTCTCCAATTATCAGTTCTTATCAGTCCATTCCTCAAGAGTTCTCCTGTTTTGTGTTGCAGGTGACCTTAATTCCAACCCATGACTCAGAAGTGATGAAGGAATGGTACCAAGAGACGCATGAGAAACAGCAGGACCTCAACGTCATGGTTTTGGCAAGCAGTAGCACTGTTGTTATGCAAGATGAATCATTTCCTGCATGCAAGATTGAACTGTAAGAACAAGATCAGGACCATGCACCACAAGATTTAACTTTGTTTCCAGCAATTGTTCAGTTTGAAAGCACCTTTTCTAAAAATTCAACCCTTCTATTTCAACTGCTGAATTATATACCTGAAAAATGCTATGCTGTGTCACAGTGATGCAAGTCACTAATATTTTTCAGTCTTTGCTGATTGCTAAGGGAAATAACAATATTCCCATAGTAGGGTTCAGATTACTGCAAAAATACAGATCCAGTTTCATCTCTGCTGATCATTTGGAAGCCAGGTAGAGGCATTTGCCCTCTAAAGAAACACAAAGAGAGAGAAAGAGAGAGAGGGGTAGGAGGAGAAAGTAGTAAATAATTAGATCTCCAGTAGTCTCATGGCAATAGCTGTATTGCTTACTGCAGTCTGTTTATTCACTCACATGAAAAGGGGGTTTTAAATTTTTATCAATCTGAGCTACCACTAAGGAGGTCCTTACTTTACAGAACTATGTTAGCTGGAAAATAAGAAGCACCAGAATGTGGCTAGGTAGGGACATACAACCTAAACTACTCATTAGCAGTTTTCCACTTTAATTTGAACTCTGCATAATCTACATACCATACCAATTGTAGATCAAATTCTAAAACCTTTCTTTCAACATGCAGAATTGTTGGTCTAAGGCATGCTCCCAGTAAAAATCCACTCACTCCAATCAGAACTGACAAGTCCACATGCTTTAACACCCATGTCCACTGTCGATTAACTGAAGCAAAATTCCAAAGCAGTTGGTTGTACATACAGTAGACAAATTGCCTTAGAAAGTGATTTGAATGTACAAAGAAACTTGATGCACTTATTTTTTAATGTTGAGACAGCAAAGTTATAAATCATGTAGGATCATAGTTGCACCAGTAAAAAAGTGTGAGTTTGCATGTGTGGTACTGAAACCTATCTGACTGGTCAAATGGCTTGGTACTATGAATCACGTATGTTAGTTCTGTGAACAATTCATTGATGCACCAGGACAGTTCAACAAGGCAAAATGAGCTTTTTTTTAAAAAAAAAAAAGCTTCTTTTGTACTGTAGAAGCAAGATTGAAGTGGTGTCCAGTATCAGAATTGCAAAACAGTGAAACACTCAGGATTATGAAAAAGATTATCTGCAAGTTTCTACAGTATTCAACCTTCCTTTGTCTTACCTTATTTTACTTGTTTAATTTAAGAGGAAACATGGGAACAAATGTACAGAAGCCTTTTTTTTGTTAGTGTTGTATGAACTTTTAATAGATTTTTTAACAAAAGTTTTCATTTACAGGAAAATGCAAAGAAAATTTTTTTGGGTGAAGGCAATTTTTTTAGTAGTTTTGTAAAATAAATTAATAATGTTGTTCTAGTGAGAATGGATATTGAGGTAAGATTTATTGAAAATAGTCACCTGCTGATACCTTTTTGGGGGTGGGGGGGGAGGGGCACCCTGGTGGTAAAATTAGTCTATTGATGATGGCAGAAAATGGGATATGAAATGTCAATTGCCTAATATTTCAAAGGGTGTAACCTACATTCTCAATCCTCACAAGATCTTGAAAAAAAAGAACAAGCAATAAGCTAAAATAAGTCCTCTTTACTACTTACTCTCTCTCTTCCTTTCCATCTTCCTTTCCTTCTCTAGATTTCTTGCAGCGGAACAGCATGTAAAACAGCTCTGTCATTTAAGACAGTTTGTATTTTTTATTCTCAGAAGTTTTATCCCAATAAGAAAAAAATAATCTTTTTATATTGTAGGTTTGCAAATCTGAATTTAAAGAAGGTGCAAAGGCCTCCAAAATTAAGATATGTGCTGGTCTGTATGATTCATCATTATGGCTGGTATTAAGTTTCACAATGTAGTGAACTATGACCTAATTTTATAATTTTTTTCAATTTTACATTGTTAGGATATTTTTGTTTAATGGGTATATGTTTACACTCCTAATTTTTATGAGGGTGGTTTTTTATACTGCTTTAGGGCCCTTTAAATGTGGGGTCCTGAGTCCTATGTAATGCTGTGAATTACTGTTTGCCAATTGTTGGGGGTTTTGAATTTTTTTTAATGTCTTCTGGTTTTTTTTAGCTATCTCAAGCAATGCTGTTTTATTTATATAGCTTTTATGTCATTAAGAATAACTCAAAATTACTATGGCAGAAAAGGCAGATGGAAATGTATTGTGAAAACAAGCATGTTTGTTTGGCTCATAATAATTCACTATGTTTTGTAAAACATAGTCTTCAGAGTTATAGGCAAAATATTTGGCAGAATAGTTGTACTATTTCTACAATTCTGCTTTGTCTAATTTCTTATATATGTCAGATTTCAAAGTTTTTGAGTAGGTGGGAACAGATTTTCTGATTTTCTGACAATATCTGAAATTGATTGTACCTCTGCTTTGCTAGAAAATCTAAATACAGCAGTGGTCCTGAGACTAATCTCACTTATGCTGCTTATTGTAAATCAGGAGCAATTTCACTACAATCAGGGAAGTTACAGTCATTTGGTCCTGTAAATGAAATTATAATCGAGCCTTAAATCTCCCCAAATAATTTTGTGATGGCTCAAACATTTGCTTTACTTTAAAAATAATAATAATTAGGCAGTTACAGCTGCTCTTAAAAGGTTCATTCATTTTTTGCTGCTACAAGAACATTAAAACCACAGCCTGGCTATTCAGAGGTATTGTAATGCCTTTTCCATCCATTCCCTTTTAAATGGCAATCATGCCTTGGTATAACACAGCAATGAACTCCTCCATTAGCTCCTCTCGCACTTAATGTCTTTCCTGCCTGTGGAACTAATCTAACAGTGCTAATCGTAATACTACCCAGTTTAGTAATAGTCATCAAAATGTACCACGTACATTAATAATGAGTGCTGTTGATCAGCATAGATTTCTAGGAGCATGGTTTGTTATTGATTAATTATAAAGATTCAATATCTGAATGTAAAGAATAGTCCATTTAAATGATGGTATTACCCATAACAGCATTCCCAGTCATGATCTTTATGCTATTACTATACTGTTTTATAAAATTCAATGAAGCATTAACTTCAGAGATCACACCCCACTCTTGATCTTGGACAGAGCCTCTCTTGCATGCCTTTACAAAGCCCTGTGGTGGGCCTGACTTTATTGACCTCTGCTTTTCACTCCATCTTTCATAGACTTCACTTTTGATTTTTTTATCATCTTACATACTGTGGTGAATGGAGATAACTGTATATTAATGGGGTTTTTTAATTGTCTATGATAGCTTATGCATTTTAGGAGAGTTATGGTACTCATTTACTAATATTTAATCAATTTCTTAATTGAATTCTCAATCCCTCCCACCACAAATAACTCAGTTCCAAAGAGCACTTACTGTGCATTTAGGACATTTCTATCATATGCTTCTCTTTTTCATCTGTCGCAAGGGGTTCTTACTTGGTAATGATGTTTTGAGAGAAATAATTTTGTTGGTCTGGATTTACTAGAAAAGGAAAAAGTATCATGTTTATACTTGTAAGAAACTAAGTTTTCATCTTTTCACTTAATTGAATAAAACACTAAAAGCAACTAGGGGTAAGCATTTCTTAGAATGCAATTATAATATTCACCTGGTTTAAAAATGTTTGCTACCTAAAATAAAGAAAAAAGTCTGTTTGCTGTGACTTTACCAAAAAAAAAAATCTAAAAAATAAGTAACTAAATAAAACAATGGCATAAAAATATTGAAAGGAAAAAAAAAAGAAAGAAAAAAAAAAAAGAAAGAAAAAAAAAGCTTCTCTGCACTAGACTAGCTAGGAGGTCCAGATGGCAGAGCTACCTCTTCAAGACTGGGCTGTAATCACAATTGTAAGAGAGGAAATCTGAAATATGCTTTCATGTATTTGCATGCAGCCATCATCTTCCAGACTATGGAAAGAAACAGTCTTGTTGCTGGCTGAGAAGCACCTCACACACCTCTGCTCTCTTGTTTTGAATGGTGTTTGTGTCAGTCTGCAGCTGTGTATGGTATTAAGTCTTATTATAATCCTGCATCACTTCTATCCAGTCATATCTCATGTAGAAAATTAGTTTCCAGTGAAAGTAATATGTAGTGCTTTTATGATATTTGTGTGCAATGTCCCCTCTTCCATTGAGGATATTTGGTGTAAAAGAAATGAGCTCAGTTCCATAATAAAATACAAAGGTGGTAAAGTACTGTTGACACTTCTTGTCTTTGTGTATGTACGTATTTTTAAGTTTTCCCTTTTCTTCAATCATGATTACCTACTATATGGACTTTTTCTCATAAGATCAATTACTATTTAAATGCTAGATAAGAACCAATCTTAATTTTACACTGCAGTCTCTTGCGGTGTAAAACATTACCATGATGTACCATAATGTGGCTTCTTTTTGTTCTAATTTCTGTATCCCTCAGCAGCATGAGAAAACACCTCATTTTCAATAAGTACACATTCAAGGGACTGTGTCAGAGATGATACCCAGGAAAGCTACATCACCGAGGCGAGCAGCTCTGGTGCCAGCAGGATCCACAGTGGAGCAGTCTAGCGCGGTGCACAGGGAAGTTTCCCGAACCGGGGGATCCTCAGGGGGAGTTGAGAGCGCCACCAGGAGCCCTCAGCTCACACAACAGCCATTGAGGAGACCTGGGTGGAGCCAGCAGCTACAGCAGCCAAGCTCTCCTCCACGTTTAAAAAAAGCCCTTAGGGAATGCCAGCGACTAGGGCGGGCAAATAGGGTGTGGCGTGGCACTACGCGTCAGCAAGAGCGTGACACGGCCGTTTGCATAGCAGGGCGCATAGGAAGGGCACTGTAGCTCTGCTAACTCGACCAGGGAGCAACAGTATACACCCGACAGAAGGCCACATCCACTCTAAGCTCTATGCCCACCATGACTGATGCAGCTTCCCAGACAAGAGCTCCAGTGGGAACATGCTGCCACCCAGGTGTCAGGCTGCAGGATGTACCCTGCTTTTATGCCAGTATTGGATGGCAGCAGTGAGCA